GTCTAACCCCCATCCCCTTCGTCTGTGTATGGTTGGGGCTGGCGCAGTCTTCCTGTGTGAAGCGCCAGACCCCTTCACACCATGGAATGAGGATGATGATGTATGTTTGGGGCTGCATTGCAATATTGATTGTTCGGATCATTGGTATCTAAGTCTTCCGCTGTGCTATTTTATACTTTGTATTGAAAGGTCGGTTCTTGTTCTGGTCTGCACCTATACGGTATGCAACAAATACACAAGAGGAGGGAGGAAGGAAATGGGAGGTGGAGTTCTGACAGGATTCTAAATAGTGACCACTGGGGCAGACCACTCTAGAATGGCACATGAGGCCAGTCATTGTGTGGGTTGCATAAGATTTGTGGAGCAGTTGTTGCCTATGGTAAGTGGCCTCCTCTACAGACCGGGCAGGACCGGTTTGGGTGTGGCCTGTGGAAGCACCGCATCCAATTCTCACAGCCACAGTGACTGCATCGAATGGCATGGCGTAGACAGATGTCACAGGCTACATGGCTCCTACATGCTAGGAACACAGTGGCACGTCGACTGCAATTGTAGAGGCATTGTCGTTCCAGACCCTGTCTACAAATTGGACATGACCTGTCAGGGTGCCGTACATGAGTGCAGTATAGACTGTCATCATACGTATGAAGACAAAAGCTCGCCCGGGCCATCCCTTCATAATCCTCACGGCATAAGGCATGCAAACCACATGCTGGCTGAATCTCCGGTGGGTCATCACAAAGCGGCGTGGAGCAAGTTTCCTGGGTTTCCTCAGTATTTATTCCTTCTCTATGGGTAGACGACAACGGGGGAGATTGATCCAAAGCAAGGGCGTTCAGCTGCTGCAGGATTTGGTCTGCAACAGCTCGCCCTGGTGGAGACAACCTATCAGTACAGCGCTCTGTAGGTGGTTCATATGGTAATCTATTTTCCTCCTCAGGCTGCTGTGGCCGTCGTTCGTCAGGCAAGGAAGAAGGAATTCCGACTGCGGTTGCAGTAGGTGTATGACCAACACCGCATGCGGGACATGCTAGGAGAGGATGTGGCGGTTGATGGCACCGGGGTTAGTCCACGCAGCAGAGACACGTACTTTCTATGACAGCTTCCTGGAAACATTGACGGCACATGGTATGTTGCTGACATGTCATCAGCAAAGAAGACTGACGTGTGCAATTATTCAAGCATGGCAGATCAAGGCCACAGCATCAAGCTGGGCAAGTAATCAAAGATGGGGGGGGGGGTGTTGATTACAAGACAAAGGATTGCAGTTTTCATGGCAGAGGCTGGCAGCGACCATCCCTTCATGGTGTTCGGAGCAGAGGCTATGCCGTGTACATGCTAACCGGACTGTACCTTTGCGACGACACAATGGGAGGAGGGCACTATCTCCATCCCCTGGAGAGGTCCCTTCACTGTTCGTGGTAGAATCTGTCCGATCCACACAGGGAGCGGATGCTGCCTGACCATGATCAGGGGAAGAAAGAGGTGCAGCCAGATTGCTCTCCGGAGGCAGTAGTGCTTGCAAGTGCTCATCGCCATACTGTTCCTGATGGACGAGCCAGACCGAGTGATGTTCTACCGCTTGGTGATAGAAAGAGTTGATATTTCCCGCTTCGTGCACCCTACCGTCATTGTCCCATAGGGTCCATGAGTTATCTACAAAGGTAAGAGCACTGAAATGACCTGGACGATTGTAAGATGTATGCCCGAATATTTGGATCCATGCCTGGCACGTGATTTTGCGGAGTAGGCTGGAGTTAGGCAAGGAGACACACATTAATGGCATAGTACGCACAGTACCCTCGCTGCAGCACTATGAAATTATCTGATTCTGCAGGTTGTGCAGCAGGGGGAGGTTCATGCAATTCTCCAGATTGCACGGCAGGTGGAGATTCATTGCAGTCTTGACCATTTCTGTCATGTTCCTCCGGCTGTATTATGCGATCCGGAGAGAGATTTTCTGGAATCGGGGGCTCCAGAAGGTGGCTCATTATCATTTGAGGCAGGGGAGCATGCAGGGTCAGGTGGATGAGGAATAGATGGGTCAGATGCGGGAAGCGGAGGTTGATCAGTCACACTTGTGCTCAAAGTGGCTGCTAGTCGTGCAAATGCTGCGCAGGTAGCTGCACCTCAATCTCCTATTTTCCACCTTTGCCCTGATTGTCCTTTACACTCTTGATCTTGTCCTGGCATGTCAATGGTCACCAATGAGCCAGCTTAGCTGGCCTACCTTTTCTCAAATGACATTTGTCCTCCCTCTCGATATGCTCCAGTACGCCGTAATCCTCTGGATGGGAAGGATTATTTCTTCCCCTTCTACGGTAAGATCCCTCGGCCTCATCACTATTCTGGCCACCATCATCAGCTTGAGACTTTTTTTTTTTTTTTTTTTTTTGGGACAACAAATGCTCCGATCTATTCATGGGGAGCAGCACGTGCTGGGAACCGGGCCCAGCGTCCCATATAGAGTTACACAAGTCATTTGAGATACCGGGGCCATTACCCGGCTTCGGCTAAGAATCAATCTGAGAACTATTGGAGAAATTCAAGAGAATTAAAGAAGAGGGTGAAAAACTATGAATGACTACTGACCTCTTTTCGAATGCTCAGAACCCCTAGACTCCCAAACAAAACTCTCTAAAACTGTCCAACACTGTCTTATTCCCTGTCGAGCTCTGCCATTCCGGTATGGGTACATGCAGTCCACCCACTGAGAATTGCTTTCCAGCTGCCAATACGTTTGCCTATCCGCCGCCAATTGTGTATTCTCATTCCTTAAAATTTGGACCATTTCTCAATTTATGCGTGTCCTCCTTGCACAGGGGCCATGCTAATCTTCTCTGTATTGTTCCAATCTTAACGGCTGTCCCGAAGAACATTGTGGATTCTCATTCCATTGCAGGACAGGCACCACTTTTCGCCCCGGCATTGTTGTCAGTCTCTGATTGTGGTCAACCATGTCAGTTTGCGGGGGTCAAACAAGCTGTATGGTGATCAGCCGAGCCCAGCCAGGCGGACCAGGTGCAATGTTAGCCACCCCAATGGAGAACATCACTTGCTCACACTATAAGTAGAAGTCTATAAACAGGTTCACACCACCATGGGAGGCAGGGAGTCACTTCGGCGAATATCTATCATCACCAGAGAACACACAGGCATACAGGCATCCCGGGCACAGAAGGCCCCCAATAGTGTTGACGACACTCCATACAAACATGCGGTAAGTATTTAGACAGGAGAACACAGGAAAAGCCCAGAGGGCTCACAAAGTGGAGAACATAAAATACTTAAAACTGTGAATATTCAGTGTTAGCGAGCACCATCCAGTACTACCTCGCACTATCCATACAAACATGCACCGACTATTTGGCACATCTTGAAGGTGCTCACTGAGACACACAAGAGAACACACGAGAAAACCAGAGGACACACAAAGTAGATGACAGACAATACGCAAAACGGTGCCTAGTCAGTGCTAACCAGCACTATCCAGTACTACCTAGCACTATCCTATCCAGTACTATGCACAGATTTCCACCACTGACCTAGCTCAGTTTGTGACTCGTAGTGCCTGCCCAGATCTACTGTGAAACGACCAAAGGATAGTTTTGGTTGAGGCGACCTCTGAGCAGCAGCAAAGAACTTGGCCCAATTCCATGTAATTGCCTATGGAGCTGTCCTCAACTGATTTGCTGCCCCCGCTTTCCCCCCACTCCCCACTTTTACCTGTAGTCTGTCAACTTGCTGCACCACTTTTTCAGGATTAAATTCAATTAATGTATTTACTTTTAACTTTTAACTTTTAAGTTGATTTATCGGATTTTTTATCCATTGACGACATTCCCACTGTCTGCATCTACCATCCTGCGAAACCACAGCCAAGGGAACGGCCTTGGAAGAATCGGCAGGGAAAGAAGACCCTGTTCAGCTTGACTCTAGTTAGACTCGGTAAAATGAGCTGAGAGGTGGAGAAAAACTGGGAGCTTTACGGCGCAAGTAAAATACCATCACTTTTAAGTTTTAAATTTTAATGCTATCTTAATTATGAAAAAAAAAAGCAAATGCCCACTCTCAGTTTCTTTTTGTTTTCATTTGTTTGACTGTTTGTTTGTCTTTTTCCATCCTTTGGAAACCTCAGGAACAACGGGAAGGCCCAAGGGAGTTGCCATTTCCCATTCTGCTATTATTAGCCAGTCAATGGCGAAGCTTGATCGTGTTGGCTACAACAAACAGGATGTGAGTGACCGCTGATCTCGTCTGTTCATTCCATTGTATTTTTGTTTCATCAACTTTCATGCTTGCTTCTTCGCTTCTAAGATCACCAACAGAGTGAAAGTGTGAATGACAAACACGAAAGAATAGCTTCAGCACAAGAAGGTCAATGAAACTGAAGTCACACACAGTAAGAGAAACAAAATTGACTCAGTAAGAGAAACAAAATTGACTTTGGTTAAACCTCCCTCTTCTCGCCCGCTTTTCTCTCCCTTCCCTGAGCCTTGTCCTGCCCCCCTTCTTGTCCCCTTCTTGACCCCTTCTTTCCCCCCTCTTGCCTCCTTCTTGCCGCCTTCTTGCCTCCGTCTTGCCACCTTCTTGGCGCTCTTGTCTTGCTGCCTTCTGGCTGCCTTCTTGCTCCCCTTCTTGCCCCCTATCTCCAACCTCCTGGACAATTGAGCTCATGGTAATTGCAAGGAAAATGAGCGAGAGCGATAGACAGAAAACCAAATTGCAATATCACATTGAAGACCAGATGGTCGTGTCCCAAGCGGAAAGCAAAATGCACTGAGATACAAGCCAAATAATAGCAATGCAATGAATTCAGATGTCAATGTCAGCCTCTTCTTGCCACCATCAACAATGTATCCAATGTCGCTGTTCTTGATTGGTGCTCAGTGCCCAGCCTACCTCTACCCAGAACCTATGCTAGCCTACACTACGACATGCAACCAGGAATCACTTCCAGCCGAAGACCAATGTACGTGACGAAGTCGCCCATGCAGACTGCCGCATACACCAGGTACGTGTCTCTACCCTCTCTCTCTCTCACCACCTTCTCCTTCCCACCTTGTGTGCCTCCTACCCAAAGACCACCATCGCCCACACCAGCATTGCCACGAGCAGGCCCGGCTATGACCGCTCGCGCCCGCTGCTCCAGCAGTGCCCCTCACCTCAAAGCGCCCGCGTGCCGTATCCAGCCAGTGCCCCAGCAGCAAGCCAGCGCACAATCCAGCAGTGTGGCCGCCAGGTCGCCCAAGGCCAGAATGAGCCTCCCCAGCGCTCAGCACTTTCCTATATGGAAAGTCCTCCACTGTGTTGCCCTGCTTCGGGACTAGAGGCCGAGTTCCCAGTAACTTGGATCCGGGCCAAAGTGTCTGCGCCCAGGCCCAATGCAGATACTGGCCTGGCCCGACAACAGTTAAGCAACCCAACCGTGCGACGTGGCCAGCGTCACTCGCTGCATTCCTATTGGCCGAAAGGCCTGAAGCCACATCGCTGCGTGGAAGCTCCCAGAGGGCTCACAGTTTTGTTGTGATCATACTGATTTGGTCCTTGCAACCAACTGGTGTGAGTTAACTGTCTGGCGCCCCTGAATGCAGAAATGACAAAAATAAGGCCTCAAGTTGAAATGCAAACCCGCCTTCACTTAGGGTGGGCACAAGGCTTGCTGGGGGCCACAGTACTGCTGGGCCGAGTGGCTCTGCGAGGGCCCATTCCTCACATAATCCTCTTTGTGCCAGTTTGTGGAGCAAGTTTGTGGCAAGTTTGTGGCAAGTTTGTGGCAAGTTTGTGTAAGTTTGTGTAAGTTTGTCTAAGTTTGTGTAAGTTTGTGTAAGTTTGTGAGACTTTCAGATTTTTAGTTTCAGACTTTTGGCTTGCAGACTTTCAGACAACAATTCATTTATCATGGAAGGATCGCCTTAGTGCTTATCTTCGATATTTTGAAAACAATTGTATGAGCGCTCTGCTAATTTTCCCTCTCTTCTATTCACTGCTCTGCATAGATCTTATTATTACGTGATCTGCATGCATTTGTTAATTTTGCTGGGTTAGGCCGACGTCCGGCCCAGACGGACTGGGCCAGACGGACGGCGGGGGGTCCGTCTGGCAAAACCAGACGAGCCAAAAAACATCCCAGGGTTGTAGTGCGCTCGCTGAGAGGAGCCCGAATCCGCAGAGAAACTTATGAAAGTCATGTGTGGGGGGGGGCGG